GCTACCACAGAGTGATTTTGATACACTAGTAGGTGTCACTTATTAGTGGTGTGCTAGTAGCAGTGTGATATGCACATGTTAGCATCTGCTAGCATTTAGCGTCTTTTAAAGTGTATTTGTGTACAAGTCAGGCAAACCGTGCTAACAACCACAGGCTCACTTCTTCTACTGCAGAAACACGTATTTCTTCCAGAAAAGAATGAGGCAGAACACAGAGAACAAATACTCTGAATTATCTCGTGAGACGATCCTGACGCTCTAGATAAAGAAAATAAAAAAAAAGATTTACTCACATCTGATCTGTTTGACCAGTGGCTTCAGCATCTCCACCCAAACCTGAGACACATGGTTGGTGTTGTTATAATGCATTAGGAAAGTGAACTCCTTGTCACTGTGACACAGCTCACCACTGCACACAACCTAATGTGACTTTGGTTGTGTGCAGCTTTTAACCCATCACCACAGTCAGCAGGGGGCAGCTAAAACACCTGGGGAGCAGTGTATGGGGACGGTGCCACGCTCAGAGCACCTCAGTGGGAACTTGGCAGCTGGTGGACTCAAACCTGAAACCTTCTGGATCCAAATCTACTTCCTTAACCACCAAACCACCACTGCCCCCATTTAGAGCAAATTATTAATAATTATGAAAGAAAAGTTCCTCACATAGTTGCCAGTGTGGTGCCTGAACTCCAGACCAAAGTACTCCTTCTCCAGCAGCTTCAGGTGGCCACACACCCTGTTGAAGAAGTCTCCTCCTGAGACCTTCCACTGAGGGACAAACAAAATAACAAACTTTCAGACTGAGCTTCACTGACAGAGGGAACCCGCCTGTGTGGGAAGATCTTATTTGATTCATTTTATTTGGTAAACTGTAAAAATGTGTTCTGGTCAGTCTCTGATGTGGGAGCAGGACCAGGATGTATCCTAGTTTACTCCTCCTCCTCCTCCTCCTGGTTTTCTCCCTTCACTGATGATCACATCCCTTTGGACCATTCTTTTCTTCACTGCTGTGTTTTTTAGCTGTGTGATAACCAGTGCTTTCTCTCTGCTGGTGCTTGCAGAACCACCTTCATTAACCCGTCAGGAGGAGAGGAAGGGGAGGAGGAGTAGGGAGAAGAGGTGGCAGTGAGCAGCTGCTGGTGATTAGACAGAGAAAACGTTTAAAAAAAGAAAAAGAAAAACAGGGAGCAAACCTGTGATTAGAAGAAAGGACTGCTCAGTGTGGAAGGGGTGATCCTCAAATGATGTTTAAAACTGCTGAAATACGTCCCCTAGTGGTTAAAATGTCGGAAAACCATTTAAACTGAACGTTTTTATATTTACTGGTGGTTTTCACTGTCGTCCGTTTACTCACTCACTCACAGAGCAAAACAGAAAAAACATGTTGATTTTGGACACCTAAAAACTCAAAGAATTGTATGAACCAATCACAACGCCTGCAGCCACAGCACATCACACTGACCACAGCCATTTAATTTTCTGAGTGAAACAGCCAAAAAAATGTTTACTTTCATTGTGAGTTAATATAATTATATGAATAATTATTAATTATTATTAATTTTAACATCACAGCACAACAAATGATTATATGAATAATTATTAATTATTATTAACTTTAACATCACAGCACAAATTACGGTGTTGGTCCACCACTGACTCCAATAAAAGTTATATATATATATATATATATATGATATAATTTTTATTTAAAATAATACTAGTAATTATTTGTATACAGTACTATGAGTAGGTTATATATAGATTACTCATAAATAATTTGTGGCAAACAGAGTGAATGAAAGGATAAATCAGCGAACTCACCTCCACCTCAAATGTTCGCTCGCTCTCGTCCAGAAAAATGACCCTGAGCCGGAGTTTGTTCTGAGAGGAAGAGAATCTTTGGGAGAGAGGAGAACGCTCCTCCATCTCTTTCTCCTCTCTGTGTTTGTTTTTGAAGAGAGACAGGAAATTAACAGAGGGATGAGGACAGAAGAAAGAAAAGACAGACGTGAGGAGTCAGGGAGATAAGGAGGAGATTATTCTCGTCATCACGGACAGAGTCAGACTTTCACCCTCCTCCTCTGCCATCTTCATCATCAGCATCACTATCATTATCCTCCTCCTCTTCCTCCACAGTGGCTGCCACTAGAGGGCACTCTATAAAATCATACTAATCTAATTTAATCTTGTTAGAATTATTTTATGTGATTTTTGAAATCAAAGACATCAATATCAGGGCCATGTGAATCTTTAATGTTTTGTCTACTGTGTTTTATAATGTAATTGTTCTATTTGTTATACTTATAATTGTTTTTGTTTTTAATTAAATTGGGGTTTGGTTTTTTAGAATTTTAGACATATTCACAATAGATTTTTATTTTACTTTGCGCTGTCGCAGGAACATGAAACAAAACGAATAAAGTCCAAATCTTCTTCCTGCCAATGTACCAGTCCGTGTGTATGTGTGAGTGACATATAACATAATATAAATTTCACGGTGACTGGAGACTCTTAAAGAAGTGACCTGCTCTGAAGTAGGTCAGAGGAGCAATGGCTTTCAGTAGCCTGAAGACTGACTGTGATACAGACCGACACACACACACAAACACATACACACATACACAAACACACATACCTTATTGTTTTCTCAGACAGAAAAGCCACATTTCTGACCTGTTTCTGGCCATGTGGCACTAATTATCCTCCATATTGAGCTTCCTCCAATCCACTTAACCACACTTTGGGTTACTGTGTGACTGTGACTGTGTGATCACATATGACGTTAACGAGAAGTCGAATTTAAAGCCAGCACAGTCTCCTAGTAGCTAACTGATTACTATTTTCTTGTCACGCAGTTCTTGAAGCTTGCGCCTAGTGAGTAGTAACAGCATCCAGCCACAAGATGGTAATATTTACATGAAAATGGGGGGATGAACAAAGCGCTAAGAAAACCCAATTCCGTTTAGACCTTTCTTAAAATATTTAGCCACTATAGATAATACAATTTTGCTAAATATATATTTTTTTATGTTGTTAATGTTCTCGGTTTATGTTTGAATATGTTTTTAATTACACTTGGTTTATTTAAGACTGAATTTAAAAATGAAGTAAATATCGAGAGCACACTCCAAAGACAACAGTTCAAAACACATCCTCAAAGTCCATTCAAAAACTAAACTTCCTTTAAAAAAGTCAAGCACAAAAAAGCAAACACATTTCATGTTGACCAGCAAACATTTAAAGACTAGCCAAATGTAGGTATGTGTTAGCCAAGAGACAACTGAAAGCTAACATAACCTACGCCTAAACAAGTTGTACTTAGAAAAAAATCACCATAGTTAGTGATTTTAGAAAGATATGGCCTCACGTATCCTAGAAATAGCTTTTATATAATCAGTAAATTTTTAAGTAAAAGTTTGGCAATTTTGTATGAAAAGAAAAAAAACTAAGAGTAATTCAAGCAAAAAGACGAAAATGGTAAAAATGAGTTACTGTTGCTTTCAATGCATCAAAAAGCAAGCTACCATACAGCTAAATTAGCTAGCGGATAGTAAATGGATAACCAAAATGTTTCTGCTGCAAAACAGATTTTTCTCAGATGAGTCAAACACTGTGATATTTTCGCTTCATTACATGTTTTGGACAAATATTAATGTTGTGATTTTATCTTCTGTGTGATAACAGTGATGGAGGTTGTTTCCTTCTGTTCAGTTTTTAAAACTGAGGCAGGTTTTTTTCTAATTATTTCAGAGATGTTAGATGTGGGGTTGTGTCAGGATCACATAGAGCTCAGTGTTCCCTGCTGTTTTAATGTCTGAGAAATGAGGTTTGATTGTAAACGTGGGAAAACAGAGAGATGTCTGATGACAGAGATGATATCAGCTGGAAATAAAAACAACATCACTCTGACATCACTTTTACTTTTTTTTCTCCACAGTTCTCCCTCCACAACTCTCCTTTCTTCTTCTTTTTTATTTATGAAAGTATCCAAAAACGCTGTTGTATGGAAGTTAGGTGTGTTAGTTAAGTCTTATAATAGTAAACACCTACAATTAAAGGAAGGTTTATTTTATCCTTTAAACAACGTTCTTTTAGAAACTAATCACAGACTTTAGGTTATGTCAGTTTTACAACTCAGTCAAACAATGGTAGTTGTTTGTTACTTTTTATTAACCTTAAAAGTATTTTTATACTTTAATTTGTACGTATTAATACACATTCTTCTTATTCTATTTCACTGGACTGCTGTGTTTTTCAACCACAATGAAGGCTGTTCTTTTCTATTTTATTCTTTACACATAATATATATAAAAAAGAAGGAGAAAATTTGATTAAATATAAAAAGCTTTGAGCTTCTGCTTAATTTTCAGGGGCAGGAAACAGGATTTGGCAGAGAGACATGAGAGAGCATCGTAAACCTGTTAGAGGTTTTAAAGGGACAATTTCACACTGAGGAAATGGAGCTGCGTTCATAACTGAACATGAAGATAATCATTTTAAAATAAAAAGGAAATCACTCATTACAGCTACAGAGACACTGGATTTAACTCACACACTGCTGCACAGATGATGATGACATGGGAGAAGACACAGAGGACGAAGCCTAATCCAGTTACAGGAATCAAACCGACAATTTCACACTGAAGAAAATTACACTTTGTATTTGGAGGTGTTTGGCTACGAGTGCAGAAAAGAGGAATAGATTGAACCCACACTTGTTGGAATGTTTGAAAAAAAATATGTCAGCAGGGGAAAAAAAGCCCATAAAAACCAGGAGCATGAAGGTTTTGGTTGAAAAATAATTATTCTAAACAACATGTACAATTTAGAAGTGATACTCAAAAACTATAATTATTAAACTATAAAAAAATATCAGTTCCATTATTAGTTTATCAGTTTCATTTTTCACTCTGTTATTAGCTGGTAGTGCTAAAATAGCAGTTTTTGCACTAAAACCAGCATGTCTGACTGATGTAAAGTCCATTTTGTACATTATGTTAAGACATCACAGCAGACATGTTGTTTTTATAAGTAGGGAAACATTGAAAATTGAACTGATGCGCTGCTGAATTTTGTACCTGATCTAAAGTGTTTCGCGGCAGCCATATTGTTTTTAGACAGAATAAACATACGTTCTGACCCATGTACTGTTGGTTTTGGTACTTGGTCTCAAGAGTTTCATGGCGGCCATATTGTTTTTTAAGCGGGGAAAACATCACTCTGACTACAGTCAGTTTCTTCAATCAAGAACGGAGCAGGTGTTTCTGATGTAGTTTTTTAACAGGAAATTTTGTTTTTCACAGCTGCCATTCATCAAATCACAGGTGTAAATGACCAAACATTGTTTTATTACTTAACTTAGAATTTCGACCTAAGTCAGTGTGCGAAGGAGAAACTGTCCCAATTCACCAATTGCCGCTTTAAGGTAGGAAGGTACTTTTTTTGTACATTTATATTTTTTGTTAAACTAACGTAAGCAAATAGACATAAAACTAAACATGCTACATGCAGCTAGTTAATGCTCATTTTTGTGTTCATAAATGTGGAACTGGTTCAGGTCTGTGTGACCACTGTTAGTTACAGTATGCATTATTCTGGAATGTTCTTAGAAATACAGCAAGAGCCTTTATTTTTTATAATTGGGTTTTTTATTTTAACATTATGAAGTAAAATTAAAGTTTGTTTTTTATTTGGTGTATTCTTCAGAGTTTAAGAAAAAACGTACGCAGTGAGCTGCCTCATGTACTATGTTACAAGTAGGTTGAGGAAGCAGTTACACGCCAACTGCTCCAGTTAGTAGACTAAAGACTCAATGTTAAAGTCAAACAATGTCATTAATAACCACAGCACTACCAGGTAACGTCATTACAGTAGTTGTTTATTTATGCTGTTAAAGAAATTAAATTTTCTGTTATCATTGGTATCTGTGGATTTCAGCAAAAAAACAACATGGATTGGTTTGAGATTGATGAGTACAAAATGTAGTAGCTCTATGTGGAAGTAAGTAAGTATATGTATTTTTATTAATTTTGACATGAACTTGAATCAGTTTTAGTTAGCGTTAACTTCTGTCTTGCTCTCTCTTGTTCTCTCTCTCTCACACGCAGACACACACACACACAAAGTGATTAAAACACAGAGTTAAATTACACGTCTTTAACGTGATTTGACTTGACCTCAAATTTTTATGGTTAGAAAAATCTGGATTAAATCTTCTCTGTGTGTGTGTGTGTGTGTGTAGGCCTCTGCTGCTACTGCTGCTGTTAAAAGGATTGGACTAGATCTCATTATTACAGAGGAAGGTTTTAATCAGAGTTTTTCTCCATGCTTTTTTCCACTTGGTTAACCCCCTGTCTTTTTCTCGTCTTGCAAATTAGATGACATCGCTCTTTAATTCGCTCATAATCTCATTTCAACCCTGTCGTAATTCTTAGGCCTTTTACACTTTTAACACTCTTTTATTCACTTTGTCACTTCACCTTTTCTCTTGTCTTTGTCTCTGTAAATAACTGACCTTCCATACTCACTGCCCGGTGTTTATTCATTTAAGTTTATAGACCAAAGTCCATAGAGGAAATCAGTGATTTTAACACACGGGGACAAAGGAGTCGTTGGTCCATTGCTGCCCTCAGTGGTCAGTTTGTGTCACAAAGATAGATTTGGCAAACAGTGAGTCACAACACATGACACATTTGAATTTAGTTTTAATGGTTATCAGTGGTAATCACCAGATCAACCACTGCTGTGTCTCTGTCAACTGAGTCATGTACTGTATTTTCTCTGTAGATGTTTAGTGTGGAAAAAACCCCAAAACAAATAGATTTTCTTTCCTGCTCTGGTCACCTTCACCCCTGATTTCTTTTATTTCCCATTTTGTTTCAATTTTTTTCTTGCATCAGCAGATGTTACCAGCTGCTGTTAACAATGTTGGAATTCCCT